ATGACCGTGATGATGACGATGATGGGCCACGGCTAGTTCATCATAGTTCATCATCACACCATATCATAATTCATCATAAGTTATCATAGTTCATAATCATCCCTTTTCCTAATTTACTATAATCTATCATAGAATCATAGTTTATCATTGTTCATCAGAGTTCATCATTATTGCTCATCATAGCTTATCATAGCTTGTCATAGCTTATCATAGTGAACGCAGGGGTGGACGGGGGGGGGCATTATCTTGTGACAGCCCGGAGCAAAAATAAAAGCTTGGACGATTGCCCTGGTCGTGGCAGTCATATATGAGTCATACAATTGTCGGGTGAAACCAATGACCAACTCCCACAGGAAAAGCGACGGTTGTCAGCGCGCATTCAAATCTTGTCCGGGAGCTGACCCCGCCCCCCCACCGACAACAACGAACACACGTGTTTTGCGGGCTGCGCCTACAAAAACACTCAGCACGTGCGCCAACATATCAAACAGATCCTAAAAGTGCATATCATGCCAAACCCAGCTGTCCAAACTCTCAGGCAGTGGTAAATAAGCTTGTTTTTCCTGGAATCGGTCTTATTTCTGCGCAAGCCACACGTGCCTTTCCCACGAGCTTCTGCCATCTGTGTCTGCGCAAAGTCTCATGCGCGTTGCCCCAGCACGTCATTAGTCCTTCTCTTCCCCTCGCCTCCATCTGCGCCGTATACAACATTCCCTCGCGCACTCACACTGCATGTCTGCTCTGCTCGGTACTTGCAGCCCCCACCGTACGTGCCATGCGTGTCTGCCCGCCACTTATTATGTCCTTCTCTTGCCTTTCCCACGAGCTTCTGCCATCTGTGTCTGCGCAAAATCTCATGCGCGTTGCCCCAGCACGTCATTAGTCCTTCTCTTCCCCTCGCTTCCATGTGCGCCGTATACAACATTCCCTCACGCACTCACACTGAGCCCGCTCCTCAATGTAGGACATAGCCCAGCACCTTGGCCGGATAAACAACTGTGCGTGGCTGTGTCCAGCTCGTGCAGGTGCTTCAAGCATTCATGTCTGCGCCACACTTGGCGACCCCCACAACTTCTTCCTTGGCCTAGCCTTTTCTGGCCCTTTGAGTTCCCCACATGCTTACGCCACGCGTGCCTGCCCGACGCTTGGCTGGCCTTTGTCTGCCTACAAGCCTGCCTGCGCCTTCCTATACACTACAGATTCGCCAGTTGCTTGTGGCGCTCGTGTCTGCAAACTTCTGCCTTGTTCTAACCTTTCCTTACCCTTTCCATTCGCCACATGCTTGCGCCACGCGTGCCTGCTCAACCCCAGGCCAGCCTTTGTCTTCCTACAAGCCTTGCGCTCCCCACGTGCTACTTTGCAGCCCTCATGGCGCGTGCCAATCGTGTCTGTCCGACGCTTGGTGCGTCTTTCTCTTGCCTTCACGCGCTTATGCCATTCGTGTCTGCCCGACACTCGGTTGCTCTTTGTCTTGGATTCCCCACCTTGGCCGGATAAACGCCACAAGGTGCGAGGCTGTGTCCAACTTGTGCAGGTGCTTCTGGCACTCATGTCTGCTCTCTGCGCGGTACTAATTGCAGGCATAAGCAGCCCCCACCGGTTAACGTGCCATGCGTGTCTGTCCGCCACTTATTATGTCCTTTGTCCTTCACTTGCCTTTCCCACGAGCTTCTTCCTGCCATCTGTGGTCCAGCCAAAGTCTCATGCGCGTTGCCCCCAGCAAACTCATGAAGTTCTTCTCTCCCCTCTCTTCCATGTGGCCGCCGTAAATACAAC